TGAAACATTTTGTCAAACACATGGGTTTCGGGTTTGGCTGAATGATTCTTCAGTGAATCGTCTTTTATATCAATCTTCCTATCGGGTATTTCAGCCAACACCTTGCAAGCATAGCTTTTTGAACTTTTCTCCTCGTCAATTTCAGTTTCCACCATCTCAATAAGTATGTCAGAATTATCCGCAAGGCTGGAGCGTCCATTGTCCAAATTAGAACCAATCTCTGTTGCTGATATCTCTTTCTGTTCATGCTTATTTTCCAAAGACACAACCACATTCTGATGTGCAGAAGCTTCGGGGATCGTCGTGGAAGAGGCAGACAACTTGTTCTCGAGTTTTTCGCAAAAAATATCCTTGAACTATGGCTCAAATTTAAGGTACATCCCTGTGTTACTAAAGTAAATAAAAAATATCCCTTAACTAATCTAGAAGTTGCAACAACTATTCTTCCATTTAATTTTTGTCAATAACTAACAATATCAACCAAAACATATGTCAAGCACGTGACTTTCCCCAAAATTTTCTTGTTCTATCCCTCCCTTTGTATTCAACCTTCAACGAAGCAAGGCTTTGAAAAATTAAAATATTTAATTTGTTCATTCTAAACTCCAACTCTTTCATAGTTTTATGTCATTAAAACTGAAATAGCTATTGTTTTGACACAATTTGCCTTTCTAAGCTCTAGTTACGTTTCATGAAAAAAGTAAAATTAAAGTCAAGTCCATAATATTTCTCTTCTTTTTTATTCCAACAGTGTTTTAATTGGTTAATGTAGTTGACTAGTGGGATTAGTTTAGTTTTTGTTCTCTACATATTCTTCATCTTGAAAGAGATTATTGTCTTTGTTGAGGAAATCTAGAAAATAACTATACAATAATTAGGATCTGCTAAGTCAGGGATGCCACTTACCTGTTTTGGTAAAATGCTTTATGCATGTTCTGTGTGAATTTCAAGTCACATTATTCAGTGAACTAAATTTAGCATATTTTAGTTCGTTTATGTAGTAGACTTCTAGTTGTATGATTTGACTCAAAAAAACCTTCATCTTATCATAATCTTTAAATTCTAAACATACCCATAAAGTTGAAGTACTGCAGAAAGTAATATAAAATTCACTGAGTTGTTTCCATGATAAATCAGCACCAACATGTGGTGATTAAAAGCTCTGGGCATTGCTTTTGACTAGGAGATTGAGGGGGAAGTCACATGTTTTAATTTGGTTTAGGAGAATAACCTGCTTTAATATCTTCTTCGTCAGACACTGCTTTATATTATTTTTTATCAAGTTCAAAATGAAAGAAAGTTTAGTTTTGAAGTCTTAGTTTCATGAAGCTGGAAGATGGTCGGGCTGAGGGTCACATTTGGGAGATTGAGGGTTGAAGTTAGGTGTGTTGGTTTATGTTGTTAGTTTCTTGACGGAAACTAAACGGAAGGATGGTTGTTGCAACTTCTGAAATAGTTAAGGGATGTTTTTTGTTCAATCTAGTAACATAAAGATGTACACTAGGTTTGAGCCATAGTTGAGGGATGTTTTTAGCCAAAAACTTGCTTGTTCTCAATGTTACCGAGAATTCTCAGCATACGATTGTTATTGTCCCTAATCGCCATCATTAGTCCCTGGATGACATCGAGGTGATAATTGATAATAGTAGAAGAGTAGAGAGCCATGGAGTCCAAATCAATGAAAGCACCAATGTAATGAACTTCCCAAACAATACACTTACAAATGAGAATTGTGAATTGATCTTTCATTAATGGAAACTTAATACATAAAATTAGAGAATAAAAAGATAGACATTAACATAACAAGGATAGTAACATAAAAAAAAGTAGGGGGAGAGACAGAGCCACAAAGAGAAATAGACGTGGAGGAGAGACCAGAGAGAGAGGAAGTTTCTACAATATTCAGCCTGCCTACATAATGCACGTACTCTGCTATTTAACTAATTCCCTCAATCAGGGTCCCAAACGTAGACTAATAGTCTTTGGGGAGGCCTTGTTGTTCTCTTACTTTCCCAGACTGGCCCAATACTTGCATTCTTAGCTGGCCCAACATTTATCTCAAGCCAGCTTCATTTTCTATCATAACATTTCAATTTTGCGGGGTTATCTTCCTTAATTTTCTGTAATTTTTATTTTTAAACTATAACCTTTTTTAACTCAAATGAAATGCCACGCTGTCCTAATTAAATCAAAATGAATCGGATTTACCTTATGCATAAGTGTATGATTTATTTTTGCCCTTATACTATGTGTATGATTTATTTTTCAGTTATATTATGCTACATATGTTAATTAAATCAAACTGGCTCATGTTTACCCCTACACATAAGGGTATGATTCAATTTTGGCCTTATAGTACGTGTAAATCTGATCCATTTTTATTGGTTCAATTAGGACAAATGACATATCATTCGGGCTATAAATACTAATTGAAAATTAATTAAAAATTAAAAATAAGATTCGTAAGACTAAAAAGACAATTTTGAGCCACTTTGATAACTACAGGGATATATCCGAGCCAAGTTTTAACATAGGGTAAAGTCATTCCATTTCGTATTGTTCATGAACACTTTGACTCTTGCCGTTGTTTGCTATGGGAGCTATTAGGATTACCTACTGTCTGAAACTCAAAGATTAAAGGGACTCTAAGACATTGTCAAGAAATTCGAGTCTTAGTTACAATCATTTGTAACTGAGATGAACAAGGCATTCTATAAGAATGACACATTGTTCAAATTATTCAATTCCAACTATCTAGTCATTTATAACAATTATGTACAATATTGAAATCGTTGAAAAAAGTTTCGCTCGGTTGGCCTTCCTACTTGCGATGGGACGAATGTGATTTCCCTCAGTTTGTATGGGTGGCATAGCCCGTTGCATAAGTCCTCCCCCCTCTTAAAGCGTTGAATAGAGAGATAGGATATTCTAAAGATAGTTGTTGAGGAAGCATCTAATTTCTAACTACGAGTCCATTTTCAAGCTAACTGAATGCCTATCTGTTGTTAGTTTTATTCAAGAGAGTAGCAAGTGTTGGCTTGGGGCTCAGAGCTCCTTAAGCTTGCGTTCGACCTTGGTTTCGGGGTTGGTTCCTAGGCCCAGCTAACAATAAACTACAACACTAGATCTCCATCGGATAATGCCCTAAAAGAAAGACTGGTGATTCATCGATGCCAAGGTTGAGGCTCCTTTACAAGCTCAAGAGAAGAACAAGAGGAATCCTTGCTTCATAACATAGGAACACGAGCTACAAGAGCGGGTTACTAAACCATTCGAGATGTAAAAAATGGATCCTCGCTCTCGACACCCTCCCCCTTGGGCATAGCACCTTGCGAACACCTCAGTACATATCACCAAACAAGATATGCTAGCATTGAAATCAGAAAAAAACATTGATTGGTTGAATCATGCTTCGATTAACTTCTAGCTCGGTAACAAGAGAGAGGCTAATCATAAAAAATAAGTAAGAAAAGGCTGAAAGAGGACTGGGGAGCCTCTCGAAGTCTCCGATCTTACATATGGTTAGGCTGCAATTCCTTCGCTTGTGAAGAAGCTTAGCTAGCCCAACATGATCACGAACGAAGACAGAGAATTGCGTAGATAAGAGGACGAAACGAACCACTTGTCCTGATCGTAACGATTGAAGAAAGACGTTTTGACTTTGTCTCCCGGGATCCATGTCCATTGAGAGCTTTTTTCCACGTTGACTTGCTTTGTCTTGCTTACCGGCTTTGAACTTTTCTCCAAAAAAAGGGACTGACTCTAAGGATGCATATATTTAAGTAATCAAACTAACATGAGGAAAGATCACAGCTGGTCTAGGAGCCGAAAAAGCTCAACTGACTTAGTGTTAAATACGTTCACGAATAATATTACTAATTTTGTCAGCTCGAATGTGTATCTCCAAAATATTTGGAGATAAATACCAATTAGAAAGTCTGAGACGACCCATAAAGCACTTGATCATATCATGATATGATTTGTAAACCTACTTGGGTCTTGTGTATTTACTTGTAAGAACAGAATTCTTTGTTTTGTAATGGATAGTTGCAACTCCGTAAAAAAGAATGTAATAGAAGTACCTCAGTAGGGACTCCATCTCAACATCAATTCAAATTTGATGGCTATTTTACTGGAACATTTTTATTAACGCCTTCCGCTTGTAGACAGACAGAAAGCAGAAAGGGAGCCCGAGATGCTGATCCGCAGCGAGGCAGGCCCATCTCAAAAGGTTATGTCCATTTTGGTATTCATGGTTCGGTTTGGATCAGTTTTTCCCTAAAAAGAAACCAAACCAAGTAAGTCAGTTTTTCAAATATTGGAACCAAACCAAACCAATTAAGCTGAATTTTTATTGATTCGGTTTTTGTTGGTTTTTCGTTTTTTTCGGTTATTTATTATTTTTTTCTTAAATATGAGACATACACTACCAAACACATATTCTGGCGACTACATTTTTAATGTAACATCTATCATTTATCAAGATATATTGATGATAATTAAATTAAATAGTGATGAATAATTTAATTACTCAATTAAAAATTGATTATTTTTAACATGAAATAAATTTTTATACTTAGCAAAAGAAAAATACCAATCAAACTAGAATGTAAAAGCAAAGAATTAGATTATTATAATAGCAAAGAACTATACTAAAAATAAAAACTACTAATATGTACCATAAAATTTTAGAAACTTTATATAAAAAAATTTAAAAACACACATATATATATATATATAAGTGTAATAATAAATTTAAATAATTACTTCTATAATTGGTTTGGTTCGTTTTTTTTCCGGCTATTTTTTGATAAAACCACAACCAAACCAAATTTGATCAGTTTTAAAAATTCAAAATTAAAACCAAATCAAACCTAAAACGATTTTTTTGGTCGGTTTGTTTTGATTTTTCGGATTTTTACAAACACACGTAGGAAAACCTATAAGTTTTTTCCTGAATGACTTAAGTAGCGGAGCTATATATAAGTGGAATCCCCAAAAGGTATTCAACTGTTACGCGTGTTGTACTTTCAGGCAAATAGGAAAAAAGCCTTAAAGCGCAGCAGCAGAGGCTTGAACAGTAAATAGGGAGCAGAGGCGGGAAAACGTGAGTAGAGCAAGACACAGAGATGAAGGAAGAGAGAGCGGCGAAAGGCGGAGAACAGCGGTCGGTGGACGAACGTTACACACAGTGGAAGTCACTGGTTCCTGTTCTCTACGATTGGCTTGCTAACCACAACCTCGTTTGGCCTTCCCTCTCCTGTCGGTTCGTATTTACGCACATTCCCACTCTTCTCTCTTTCTAGGGTTTCGTTACACCGTTTTTGTTAACCCGTACTCCCTTTTGTCTATGCATTATGCGTTTTGAACTGCCCATTGTTGGTTGACGCATTTGTTAATACTCTTGCTCTGTAGGTTTCTTAAAATTCTTTGCTCTGTGCAGGTGTGTGTGAGTTGGGGTAGGGGGTAGTGCTTCAGGAAGCTACTTCATGAATAATTCAATGTTTAAACTTTTCATGTAAGGCTGTAACCTAGAATTCCAAGTGAAAATCATTATTAAGGGTCTATAAATGACTTTACTAAATCATCTAAGTAGTCTTCTCTTAGTTCGAGGACAAGAGAGGATGTGGGTAGACGGAGAGGTGAAGTATACCTATGTTCTTGTGCAATGTTTGACGGTTGAAGTCTTCTCTTGGTTCATCTGTTGTTGGAATGCAGGTTGTCTGGCATATTTGATTGCTGATTCTTGCCGTTAGGTTTATATATTATTTCTCTCTTTGTTGATGTGTCCGTTTTGATCTCTCTTTAGAGATTCAATAGTTTTACTGAGATTGCAGCTTCTTCATGTAGATGGAATTGCTTCTTTGGTTGCTTATCTGTAGATACTAATAACTGAAAATTACTGCTTCTCTCTTTCAGGTGGGGTCCCCAGTTTGAGCAAGCAACTTACAAGAACCGCCAGCGCCTCTACCTTTCTGAGCAGGCAAGTTTATCATTTCACTTCATTTAATTAACTTGTCATTTATATGTTACATTTTAATGATGAAAATATGTTAGATTAGCCTTGATAAATATTCTTATAAATAAGGTTAGTAAGTAGCGAACAGGAAGCGTCAAGAATACTTATTTGTTCGGTTGTTGCTTTAGAATCCTTAGTTGGTGTGGTAGTTATTGTTATTATCCTTTCAGTTCAATCATCTCATTATTTTCTTACATCACTGCTAAATGTCATCTCTATTCTCATCATAATCTTTATTTGGATCCTATTCTTCCTCTTCCCTGCAGACTGATGGTAGCGTTCCAAATACGCTTGTCATAGCTAATTGTGAAGTTGTAAAACCTAGGGTTGCAGCAGCACAACACATATCTCAGGTGTTCTCCATGTGCATAGATACATGCCCTTCCTATTTCTTCCTCCACCTCTTCACTTTTTATGATCTTGGTTGTCTATCTTTCAGTTCAACGAAGAAGCACGTTCGCCTTTTGTAAAGAAGTACAAAACTATTATTCATCCGGGTGAGGTACATCTTTCTTTGGCCTATCTTATTATAAGATTCAAACATGAAATTTTCTCTTTCTGGTTTATTTCATTATTAGATTATACTGTTAAGATTTTGTGTTACACTAGAATACAGGCAGTGCACTTGAGGACTTCTGCTGTTCAGTTAGTATAATTTCCTGAATGGTTATTTTCCGCTGGTAGCTTGTCTCATCACTAATGCAGCTGAGTGTTTAATGCATTTTGTTTTGTCATCTAGAATTATTACCAAAATATTTGAAATTAGGTGCTTTATATGGAAATTTCTCACATGGTTTTATACTTAATTCCTGTTTTAGATTCTGGATTAATGTTGACTGTTAATTACTCACTCTTGCATAGATATCTTTGGAGGAAAAATTGGTGAAACATATTGTAGCAAGCCAAAAAATAATTAAATTAGAAACATACAGCATAAACCAAACCAGGTGTTGTTTCCCAACACAGATAATCTGGCGTCATAAATTTTGAAGTGGACTTAGAAGAGTTTCAATTCAAAAGGATTATTAGTGCCTATAGGCCCCAAATTCTGGTTACATTATTTTAAACTTCTGATAATACATTTTTCCCGCTCATTTAGAGGGAAAAATTATTTTCCATATAGAATGTTTCCAATGTATTTGTGCAACTTTTTTGTTCTTAATGATTCTTTTGGTGTCAGTGGAACTTTCTCAAGATAAAATGAATTGATCACTGTATCTTGCTGAATCCTTACAATTATACTAATTGTTCTCCTTTCTTATACTCACTATAAGAATGGTAAATACTTGACCCTTGTTGCTTAAGAACATCAATTACAGAAGCACTCATAACATGGAATTATGTACTTGAAATACTATAATCTGCTTTAACAAATCTGGTAGCATTCTATAATATGATTTCAGGTGAATCGAATAAGGGAACTGCCTCAGGATAGCAAGATTGTGGCCACACACACTGACAGTCCTGATGTAAGCATCTGCTTCTGCATATTTCATTTTCCTTTTGTAGCCCTATTCATACAAGTTGGTTTCCACCCTTATGGCTGCTGTTTCTTTTTAGTAACCTTTGAAAACTTTAAGTTGACCTTGGAAATTTTGGAATCAGGTTCTTATTTGGGATGTTGAGTCTCAGCCTAACCGTCATGCTACCTTGGGCGTAAATAATTCTCGACCGGACTTGGTGGGTTTTTTAACGACAGGTTCAGTTTTCCAACTTTGTATCTTATAAGTAGTAACTGATAGTCTATATCTACCTGCAGATATTGACTGGACATCAAGACAATGCTGAATTTGCGCTCGCTATGTGCCCTTCTGAGCCTTTCGTGCTCTCTGGAGGTTGACCGACCAGTCATTGAATGTTCTCTTCTTTCAAGGATTTTGTGATTGCTTCTATTCCAATTAGCAGCTCATGGTTAACTGCATGTTTATTAACGGATAATGTGTCGTTTTATAATTGGTAACCAGTTGGTGGTCTTCAGATATTTTCTATTCTTTTTAGCTTATTTCCTAAGTGACATGTTCTGGTCGTTGGTGGCAGATGGTGATAAAGCCACCGAGTCATATGGTTTTTGCAACTTATTCCTTAGATAGCAATTTTCAGCTACCAAGGTAGTCCACATTATTCGTTATGAAACAATTCCTTCTTTTTGACGCCTGAGTTGATTTAGTGGTGTATTCCTTCTGGCTAGGTAAAGTGAGACCAGTATAGTGCGACACTTTCAACCCCATAATTTCGTTTCAAAGAGTAACAATGTATGACAGTACCTAGTTGGCACAAAATCTAATCAGGGTAGTTGTTGATAAGTTAGTTTGATGAAGAACATCATATTATGGTTTAAAGTTGAATTATAACTTTGTATGTTCTGAAAGATTTAAGAGTTTTATGGTATATTATTCTTTCTAGAAGTGTGTCGCATGAATTGTGTTGGAGGGGCTATAATACTTTTCCTTAATGGAGATCTATAGTTAACTTAGGGGAAAACTTTTGGACCACATCAGAGTTCAGCCTCTTACTGTCATTGATGCCTGCAGTCAATTAATATTACCTCCTTTAGTTCTTACCTCAGATATTTTTTTAACTTTTCGAGCTTGTGTATTATAAAGCTCATGCACTCATGGGTTAATTGTTGCAGGGAAGGACAAATCGGTTGTTCTCTGGAGCATTCATGACCATGTGTCAACATTAGCAGCAGACCAGGGAGCTACAAAGTCTCCTGGATCTGGAGCAAGTAACTCGAAACCTTCTGCAGAAGGCCCTACTGTTCAAGCTCGAGGTATTTTCCAAGGACATGATGATACCGTAGAAGATGTTCAGTTTTGCCCTTCCAGGTAGCTCATGTTTATCACATCTCACATATTGTATAAGATGTTGAGTTTAGCCCTTCAGTGTAGTTGTGAGACTTGATGTTGTTTGGGGTTAACACTGTCAAAACGTTTGTGTAATGTGACCTTGATTGAAGATGAGATAATACTTGTTTGAGCTGTCATGTCACATATCAAACTTCTTTTCTTCTGTATTATGTCTTATGAGTTTCAAAGTTAAGCCGTTCTATTCCTTTTTCCTCTTTTTTCCCATGGATGAAGTAGCTTTCTGACCACTTTTCAAATAAAAGATAAAGAGAAAAAAGAACAGGGAGGAAAGAAAAAAAAAGTTATTTGTTCATCTCTTATCCTGGCTTCACGTATCCTTACTGGATTCCTTTTTTTTAAATAAAGTGCACAGGAGTTTTGCAGTGTTGGAGATGATTCCTGCCTAATACTGTGGGATGCAAGAACTGGTTCTTCTCCTGCTGTCAAGGTTGTAATCATTGTTTTTGCTCAAGCACTTAGTAACTTATCTTGTTTTCTACATTTTCTCTTTGTGGATAAGTGGAGAACTTCTCTTGATTTGTGCTTATATTAAAAAATGACTTCTCCTTATTTCTAGTGAAATCATACTAAAGATCTCTGGCCTCTGTGCTTGTGTGTGGGGAGGTCAGGAGGGGGTTTCTGTCATATTGCCTGTTCTTCATATTGTAGTTTGTTATATCAGATAGGTAGGCAGTAAATATTTTAGTTTGCAACACATATAAAATTGAAATATTAGAGGTGGGGAGACAATGAGCCAGATATGGTTGTACAGATAAGGCATTTGTGATTGACCTTCCGGTGTCTTTTCGTCAACTGGATCCTATCTATCTATGTTGAAATGCTTTAGTAATCTGTTGTCTTTGCAGTTATTTTTGGTTGCTTCTGGTCATTGTTCCTTCAATATTTTTTTGTGGCACATTATATGAGAAAAACTTGTTTTCTGAAACGTGTTCTTGAGTTTAGTTAAGCTTGAGAGTAGTAAATCTTGGCGAAATGTGGTAGCAAGTAGCAGTAGGATTTAGGAAAAATGGTGATGGATAATTGTTATAAGGTGGTGATAATTCTTAGATATTGGTAAGTGCAAGTGAGTTTGACTAGTTAGAGGTTGCTGTAGAAAATGACTTATGGCCTTAATGGATGTAAAACATTTTTTCTTTGGCCCTATTTAAAGCTGATTAATCATTTCAAATAGGATTCCACCAAGTAAACTTCAGTTCTGTACGACATTTATATTACTTATTATTAGTCTTTCCATTAACATATCTGTTCTTTATGCATTCCTTGAAATGTCTCCTTTCTTTTTCTAATCATTATTATTACTATAATCGTTGCTATATTATTTCTGTTTCTTTGGTCATAGTCATGTCTCTGATTGGACTTTGGATCTGATAATTTTCCCTGCAGGTAGAGAAGGCTCATAACGCTGATCTTCATTGTGTTGATTGGAATCCTCACGATGTAAATTATATTTTGACTGGGTAATGATTGCAAATGTTCGTCCTGTTGAATTATGATGTTTAAGTAGGTTGATCCTGAGACAATACATTAATCTTTCTGCAATATTTATGTGGTGTCGATCCTTGTTTTTCCCCTTTATGTGAATGTATGGTTCCATGATTCCATGAATTTTTTTCAATTTCTGTGGAAGCCTTAAGATTATAGCTATGCCTCCTTCAGGTCGGCAGACAACAC